ATATTAATGACATGGGAAGGTGAAGTGTTGCATAAGTTGATTGAATATATGGTTGAAAACCACCTACGATATAATGGTTCCAGAATATGGCTATGATTCAAATTCCCACTTTGATATGAAATCTGTTTGCTTTCTAGTAGTTTGATTTCTATTTTTCTGAATTGTTGTGTTGCTTAAGCTTTTTAGTTTTTATTTCACAATTATGTTTGCTGTCAAGTTTAGTTTTCATTTATGAGTTTTTGGTTTATTTGAGTTCTGTATTAAATATGAAATCTGTTTGCTTTGCTGTATGAAAGAAACCAATATAATATGAAATATTTTTGGGTGCCGTTGAATCTGAAGGCATTGCTGCACTATATCTTCGGTATTAAATACTACCCCACTTTTTTGCTGTATGAAAGAAAACCATTAATGGCATTGCTGCACTATATCTTCGGTATTAAATACTACCCCACTTGGTTTTGTCCAGTTTTTTTTTTTCCCTATCCGAACACTATCTCATATGCCATTGCATGTTACTCTAAACAGTGAACATATTCAATGGCTATGAACCTGGACCGTGAAATTCAAAACAGACTTTGCAAGAGTATTGATTTGCATATACATGTAACTAATGCAATTGCAGAGCTTCTCCCAGCTATTGTAGAGGAAGTTGAGAGCACTGATGATGAAACTCAAGTGCGCCGGCGTATGTTTGATAGATCATATACCGGCCATCAATATGTTCTTGACGTCCTATCTGGTCATCCAGGGCGAGCTTACCAGTGCTTCAGATTACCACCAGATGCTTTCATAAGCTTAAGAGACTTGCTTGTTAGCCGTGGTCACCTATCTGATACAAAGAATATGCTAGCGGCGGAACAACTTGGCATTTTCTTACGTGGTGTTGCCCATGCACACAGTTACCGACAATTATGTGAATTTTTTCAACATTCATTAGAAACAGTTAGCAGGTACTTCAATCAGGTTCTGAAGGCAATTGTGTCTTTGTCGGATGAATTTATAAGTATACCTTCAGCTGATGTTGATTGTCATCCATTTATACGTGCCAATGAACAATTTCACCCATTCTTCAAAAATGCGGTTGGAGCGATAGATGGTACACATATTCCAGCTGTCGTAAGTACTCAATTACAAAATCGATATCGTAATCGAAAGGGATTTACATCACAGAATGTAATGGCTGCGGTGTCGTTTGATCGACAGTTCGTATATGTAGCTTCTGGGTGGGAGGGATCTGCTGCTGACATGTGTGTTCTTAGATGGGCAGTAGAACAAGGGCAGTTTGAAGTACCCCGCAACAAATATTTTTTGGTTGATTCTGGTTATGCAAATACTGATAGACTAATTGCCCCATTTCATGGATATCGATATCATTTAGCAGATTATCGTGGAAGAACGACAAGGCGATACGCTGCCGAGCAAGAGTTATTCAATCACCGTCATGCACAGCTACGCAATGTGGTAGAACGAACTTTTGGGATTTGGAAGGAACGGTTTCAAGTTTTGACGCACATGCGACAGTTCCCTATTAGTGTTCAAGCAGATATTGTCATTGCTTGTGCGGTCCTGCATAACTTCATTGGTCGATACCACGGACATGATCTATATTTCAATATGTCACAAACAGAAATGCAACATGTTGCATAACTCAACGAATACCCCTATTTAAACCCTAAAACTATCCTACCGGTATTTTGGAGTTTTAAGCTTTAGATTTGACTTCAACCTATTACAAATAGATTTGTAAAAGGTTAAGAAGGTCGTTAGATTAGCTTAGGAGAGTCTAGGATAGGCTTTAAAGGGTCTTTGATGCCATATGAGGCATACTAGGGTAAGGGTCTCAAGTGTCCAAAATATGGTATGTTTTATCCTAAAGTTTTAGAGTTTCTATAGCAAGTCATAGCTAAGTCCTATAAAATTAGTCAATGTGGTTCTATGAGAAAAGCCCTATATTAGGGAAAAGATCCTTTAATTGAAGATGAGGATTTTGTTATCCATTCGACACTTCTTTTGCATTTGAGTAATTTTTAACATATTTTAGGTTATTAGGCGGCGTTTCATCCATATCTGACATCCAGCACTGGGTTGGAGTAGGAGCAAGCATGGCTTCCTTGCTCGGCAGTGTCACAGCGTTCACCACACTCTCCTCCACCGCTCGAGTACATGATTTAGCTCTCTTCAGAGAACCTCGACAGCAGCCTTCACATTCTTTTCATTCGAATCGCTCCTCCGCTCTCTGCAGCTCTGCTTTCCTTTCTCTCCGACCCCTCTTTCCCCCTGTTCCTCTTCGTTCTTCCAGATGGAGCCCGCCGGCAGCGGAGGCGGAGGACGTAATTCCGGTGGAGGAGTCTCCGGCGCCGGATCCCGTCGAAGCTCAGATAGAGGCTGCTGCTGCCAGCTCTACTCGTAAGGGTGAGGATGTCTTTGCAGTTGTGATGGTGAGATGCTGAACTCCGGAATATCAATTTCTTCAGAGCGTTTTTGAGTTTTCCTTGATTCTAGTTTCTAATTTGTCTCGCTACTGCTGAATTGTTTTCAGATTGGCTCAAGGCAGTACATTGTCATTCCTGGAAGGTTTATCTACACGCAGCGGCTGAAGGGTGCCAATGTTAATGACAAGGTCAGTTGCTTGGTGTTGGGCAGCCGTGAATGAGTTATTGAGTTATTTTATCATTTAACGAAGGCAGTACCAAGTAATGAGGATTGGCTCGTGTCATTTATGATAAACGTGTTTCTAGATAATTCTGTTAACTGATCTAGATATAATGCAGTATCATTTGCCGACATCAAACAACATTTTATTTTACAAGTAGTCTAGGAAATATTTACAGACAATAGTTTTCTTCATTGCAGCAGCCAGAACTCTTAACCATCAATATATTGTTTACTTTTACCTTATGACCATATGGTTTTTTCTCCTTGGTGTAACTTCACTGGCGGTCACCCATCCTAGGAGTGCTCATGTACGAGCATGCATAACTTTGGACCATTATGTCAAAAGAAGCTTTGATGTTTAAGTGTTTAGCTTTATTATTGTAAGGAGTTTTACAATCCCCCCACTTTGATCACTGAAGCCTTTGTCAGTTTCCTTAACCTATAATCATCCGCATGACATATAGGATTCTAAAGGTGGAATTCCCATCTTTCAATTGGTATATTGTTCTGATACCATTTGTTATAGCCAGAATTCTTAACCATTGAGATATTATCTGCTTTGACCTAATGAACTCACATTTTTATCCCCTTGATGTAACTTCTCAAGTGATCATTAGTCTTAAGAGTGCTCCTGTACAAGTATATGAACTTTGAAATTTCTAATGAAACTCTACCTATTACGCTAAAAAACATCTCAATGTTTAAGAGTTTGGCTTTATTGTCATAAGGGGTTTCATACCCAATTCATGTATTTTGAATAGGTCGAGGTAAGAACCATGTAGCCTAATAATATCTTTCCTAGATCTAATCATGAAGACCTTTTTGCTTTAACCTTGGACCAATAGTAAACTAAAGGAAAAAAAAAAACTTATAATAGGATATCTTTATACATTTTGTATCATGATAAGAAGATAAAATGTAAGTCAAATGGTTAAAATTAGAGAATGTTTACGTTTTCTGAGGGACAAAATTGTGTTTTCTATTTTTATTTAAACATCTTATAGTTTAAATGTTCTGCATTTTATTATTTTAACCCTTATTCTGATACAAAACACATCAAGATATTTTAATATCCTCCTTAGAATTACATTACCCAATTATGAAGACCTTCTGCTTAAACCTTGCACCAATAGTAAACTAAAGGGAAAAAAAAACTTATAGTGGGATATCTTTATAGTTTTTGTATCATGATAAGAAGATTAAATGATAAAATGCAATAGTCAAATGCTTAAAATTAGGGAATTTTTACGTTTTTTTAAGGCAAAATTGTGTTCTCTATTTCTATTTAAACATCTTAGAGTTTAAATGTTATGCATTTTATTATTTTAACCCTTATTCTGATACAAAACACACCAAGATATCTTAATATCCTCCTTAGAATTACATTACCCAATCATGAAAACCTTTTGGTTTAACCTTGCATCAATAGTAAACTAAATGGAAAAAAAATTATAGTATATCATTATACGTTTTGTATCATGATAAGAAGATAAAAAGATAAAATGCAAAAGTCAAATTCTTAAAATTAGAGGATGTTTCAGTTTTCTGAAAAGACAAAAATGTGTTTTCTATTTTTATTTAAATATCTTATAATTTAAATGTTCTGCATTTTATCATTTTATATGTTATATTGATACAAAATATTTCAAGATATCTTAATACAATTCTTTTCCAAAATTAAA